GGGGCCTCCTGCGAGCCGCTGGGCTGCCGGCTGGGGACTGCCGGGCAGAGGCTGTGAGCGGCTCCCGTCCGTCGTCGTGGGCTTTCCGCAGGGAGTTGTTCTTTGGGTATTTTAGGATGTTCCTTCAAGGGTGAGCGGTGAGGACGCAGGCGATCACCCGAGGCGTCCCCATGGTGAGGCTTTCGCGTCACCGCCGATGGGCCTCTTCCTTGTTTCCGGAACATCCGCTTTTTGTTCTGAGGGTTTGCTCTGCGCGTAGGTTTCTGTCCAGAAATGGTGTCCACTGGGAGAGCCTTGAACCCGAACCTCCCTCGGCTTCCCAGCCCCGGGGGCTCCTGCGGGCCGGGCCTCGGGCCGCAGGCTCGCCTCCTGCCCGTGGGCCCCCGCCTGGCGGGCGGTGCCAGCGTGTGGGTAACTGTCCGTTCCTGTCCCCACAGAGTCTGTAGAAGAGGCGACCCCCGGCTCCCCAATGAACGACCGTAAGGAAGATATGGAAATCGCGTCCCACTACCGGCAGCTGCTGCGCGAGCTGGACCAGCAGAGGCAGCACGGGGTCCTGTGCGACGCGTGCGTCGTGGTCGAGGGCACGGTGTTCAGGGCTCACAAGAACGTGCTGCTCGGCAGCAGTCGGTATTTCAAGACGCTGTACTGCCAGGTGCAGAAGACGTCGGAGCAGGCCACGGTCACCCACCTGGACATCGTCACGGCCCAGGGCTTCAAGGCCATCATCGACTTCATGTACTCCGCCCACCTGGCCCTCACCAGTCGCAATGTCATCGAAGTGATGTCCGCGGCCAGCTTCCTGCAGATGACGGACATCGTGCAGGCCTGCCACGACTTCATCAAGGCCGCGCTGGACATCAGCATCAAGCCGGACGCCTCGGATGAGCTCTCGGAGTTTGACGTGGGCGCCCCGTCCGGCAGCGCGGACGCGCTCATCTCCGCCGTGATGGCCGGGAGGAGCATCTCCCCGTGGCTGGCTCGGCGCACGAGTCCCACCAATTCTTCTGGAGACTCGGCCATCGCCAGCTGCCACGAGGGAGGAAGCAGCTACGGCAAAGAGGACCAGGAGCCCAAGGCCGACAGCTCCGAGGACGTGTGTTCCCAGCCGCTGTGGCCCGGTGACGTGGGCTACGGGCCTCTGCGCATCAAGGAGGAGCAGATCTCTCCGCCTCACTACGGAGCGGGTGAGCCGCCTTCTGCCAGGGATGGCGGGACGACACAGACCTCCTTCCCTGAGCAGGCCGGGGGCGACGGCTGGCAGCCCACAGGCCGAAGGAAGAATCGGAAAAACAAAGAGACCGTCCGGCACATCACGCAGCAGGTGGAGGACGAGAGCCGTGCCGGTTCCCCGGTGCCACCCTTCCTGCCAACGTCCGGCTGGCCGTTTAGCAGCCGGGACTCAAGTAAGCCTTGTGTTTGTTCCAGGCAGGGCTCAGACACTGTGGGGGGGCCGTGGCTGCTCTTTTCATAGACAAAGGGACGCATTCCCAGGCTCACCCCGGTGGCTTCCCCTGGTACTTTCTTCTTGGAGGAGCTGGGCGCCACCGCACAGTGTGGGGGGCTCCAGGCGTCACTGTGTTGCGCCAGTTCTCACACTCTGGGTGATACTTTGTGTGCGGCTCCCAGATGTTTGTTTACTAGCGGTCAGGTGCTCCTCCTGGCGGTAATCACGGTCACATGGAGCCTTTCTGAGCAGCAGGTGGGGGAACGAGCACACTGGGGACGGGAGGGCTGTGGTTAGGGGTTAGGGGCCACCAAGGCTTGTCCAGGTCGGGATGGAGGCTTCTCAGCAAGTGCACTCTGCAGGGAGTCCTCTCTAGGAGGAAGCTTAGGAATCAGCCAAGTGAGTGGACAGAGATGGACAGAAGGCAGCAAACTATAAGGCAATAAGCTCTGATAAGTGTCACAAATGCTAAACATGCCATGTGCTAGGAGGGGTACCAGCTCCCCTGCCCCAAAGGCTTCCCGAGGCCCCAGAGGAGCCCCGTTCCCGCTGTCCTTAGTCAGGTGGGTGCGTCTGGCCTGGGAGCAGGATACGGCCGGAGAGGTCATCTGGTCTGGCCCTGCCAAGGCAACCGCAGGTGGGACTTGAAATTCAGTCAGTCTAGGGGCTTTTTTCATAGCTAATTTTTAAGTTGATATTTTTGTATGGCCAGCAAATGATGTTACAAATATCCAGATGGCCCTTGGCAGAAAAAGGCTCCCCACCCCTGCGTACCCCTGGCACTCATGCACTGTAGCCTCTATTATAGTGAAACCTCGATATAACAGACTAATTCGGATTAGGGGTGTTCAGTAAAGCCAAAAGTCCGTTATATAAAAAAGTAGGTTTTCTGAATGCATACATTAAAAAATTGGCAGATTAGTTAGTTTACCAGTTTTTACTTATGTAGACACATTTGTGTAATTAAAATTATCTATGAAAAATTTAATTTCAGAGAAAAGTTTCCTATATGTATTACTGTAATTTTAAAATTTATACTGAATAGGTGTAGTAAATGCATGCATCGCCAGTCACCTCGAGTACACAGATGCACACGGCTGGGGTGGCTTAGCCCATGTGGGAACATCAGGCCCCACGGGTTGAAACTGCTGTGAACAGTCACGCCAGGCGACAGACAGCAGAACCAGTTACCCTGCCATGTGTGTGATCACCTGCTAATTATTCCCTGAATGTTGTTTACAAGCAGTGACTCTTGGATTTAAATATGTAGACTATAGCTGTAGACATGTAATATTTATTTATGTTGGCGAAATTACTACAGTGTTTTTTCCAACATATGACCTATTCACTAAAATTTGTTAAAAATAAGTGAATTAATAACAAAAAAACCCTGTTAATTTAATTATAAGCAAATCATGGTGAAAAACATTTAAAAATTAACAGGGTGTTAATTTTCACATATGACATACAGACTGGGAATTTTGTCCGTTAAACCTGAAAACCATTAAATCGAGGGTTTGCTGTAGTGTCATAAAATACACATACCATCAACTACACCCTTTTAACCACTTCTAAATGTACAATCCGTTGACATTAAATACTTCACATTGCTGTGCAGGCATCGCTAATACCCACTTCCCAAACTCTCTTTATCCCCAGACTGCCTCCCTGTTGCCCTGAAGCAGTGGCACCCAGGACGCACTGTAGCCTGCAGCATTCATTCTCAGCCTCATCACTGCTGTGTCGGCTGCACGTTCTGGGTCGACCAGGGTCTCAGCCTGGGCTGGGTGACTCTTCGTGGGGCGTCCTGGGATGTCAGCAGCACCCTAGGGTTCTACCCACTAGATGCCGGTAGCAACCCACCCCTTAGTTGTGACAACCAGATATGTCTCCAGACATTGCAAATGTCCCCGACAGGCAGCCCCCAGAGCCATTGGAGTTTAACCGAAGTGAGTCAGTAGGAGGCGAGTGTCTGGGCTGATAGAAAGCCCCGTCCCCCGGCTGGCTGGCTGTAAGGAGAGGGACAGCAGTGTCCCCAATGCTCCTAACTTTGTTTGTGGTCGTCCCCCAGCTCTGACTAGAACCCGGTAAACAGCCGCCCACGGTGAGTGGCCAGGACAGTCTTCGTGCCGAGCCTCTGAGTGGTCAGTGCGGAGATGCCCCTGCCTTTGTCCTGCATCACCAGCCAGCCCCGGGCTGAGATGCTGGAGCCTTTAGATGGGAGAGTCATCAACACACTAAGAAACAGCAGCCTCCTTACGCCTGTGGGTCTGCTGTGAAAGTGCACTTGTTAGCAGGAGGTGTTTTTAGAATCCAACAAGTGATTTCAACTCTGGACCCTTGTTAATGTCTTCAGGCCCTTGGGTTACCACGGCAGCTGTGAGCTGCTCCTGCTGGACTGGTCCGAGTTGCTAAAACGAGGAGCGACGTTGTGGGTTTGCGTGGGACCGTCTGCCGGCTCCCGGTGTCCGTTCTCTCTGCCCTGGCCGAGGGCTGGGTTGGAAGTGTAATTGTGCACCCCAGTGGAGGACAGTTGGTTTTCATTAAAGGCTTACTGTATCTTAGAGAAGAGTTGTTTTTAAATCCTCCCCCGAGGATATTTTTCTATTGATTTTCAGAGAGAGTAGAAGGGAGATGAAGAGAGAGAGAAACATCGATGAGAAAGATACATTGGTTGCCTCCCGCATGCCCCCTGACCAGGGGCGGGGAGCGAATCCACAACCCCGGTATGTGCCCCTGACCCTCGGAGTGCAGGCCAACACTCCAGCTGAGCCGCACTGGCCAGGGCAGAGAGGAGTATTTTTTATTCCCAGCCCACTTATGGGAGAAAAGGCCCTACCCCAGAGGAATGTGTCACGTGGTTACTGCATATTGTTCGGGGGGCTGGCATGGACGCTCAGGTGTTCAGGGCCCGCCCACTTTGACCCCCGTGTGTCCCACCTCACCTATAGTAACACTGGGGCCTGTTGGTGATTAAAGTGATTTTTTCCCAGCTAAAGGCCAAGTGCATTCTCACCTGACAGCTTCCCGGGAAACGTCCATAGGGATCACATCTGATTACAGCACTGTGTGAGTGGTAGGTCATGGGAAGTAGCATTGACACCTGCAGGGTGTGTCCACACAGCGATGTTCTGGGTCAGGGCACACCTCCTGCCAGGCCTGCATGTCCCTTCGTCTTCCCTGCCCTCTGGCTTCATGCCCGCCCCCCTTTCTGTGATTCCAAGGGTGGCTCAGAGGCTTTGAGGAGGCAAGTTGTACCTACTAGGTTCAGGAAGGGCCCACGTCCTCATGCTAACTCCTGCGCACATTCCCTGAGGTGCTGTAAGCATGACATTGTGTAGCTGGGAGACAAAGTATGTGTTTGGTAAAGTGAATGTTTGCACCTGAGCTGAGACCGGGACATACTGGGAGTTTTACGAATGCGTGGGAACCACAGAACAGCTTCTAGTGGGTGAGAGTGGCCGAGCAAGCCTGGCAGCCTCTCTCCTACTTGGGGCAGGGACAGGTGGCTCAGCAGCCCTCCTTGGCTGAGTCACAGATTCCCAGTCCTTCGGAGCTTGTTACTGGGGCTGAAGCAGGAGCTGGTCTGAGGCTGGTGGCCTCTCCTCTTGTCCCCTCCTCGAAGGTGGGCAGGGAGGGGCCATGCCGCCAGATTGGCGTACCTGGCCACAAGCTCTGTCCTGAACCACACAGGACACACAGGGCTTGTTTGGAGAAGCTGGGACCTCCTGAGTTTGTCTGAGTTAACTGACAGGTCGGCTCCCGGACCCGACTGCAGATGTGAGGGATGCGGACATGCCCAGGCCGGGGCCGTGGTCCTCCCTGCTCTCCCAGAGATTGTGAAGGTGCTCCTGCCACTTCAGAAAAAGGTTGCTTCCCTCCCCCCATCCTTCAACCAGTTTGATCATCTCTGTTGAAGAGAATAATCTTGTTTAGTGTGATGTTTGTATTTGGGAGGAAAAGGGTCTGAATGAAAAGTGACCCCATGTGCTTTGGCCAGTCCACTGGGGCTGGGACTGGCCCTGCTGCCAACACCCGGCCCGACAGACACCACCCGAAACTTGGGGGCTTCCCCCGCTCTGCTGTTTGGTTCTTCCCTCAAGAGTCTGAGCGCTTGACACAACACCCCCACCCTCGTTTTCTTCAGTGCTGAGCAGATGGCCTGGAACCGGTCCTGTCGACCACGTGCCCCGACGCAGGCAGCAGCCCCCTGTGGGATGGGTGGCCAAGGACGCGGAGCTCAGGGGCCTTGGGCGGAGGATGGGACAGGCTGGTGCTGAACTCAGCAAATAAGGGAGTGTCAGGCTGGGGTGGGGTCGTGCCCTGTGACCTCTTCTGTGTTTGCACCTCTGTGGCTTGTCCGTGGATGAGGCCACACTTTGGAATCGTCTGCACTCACCCTTGGCTTTGCTGAGCGGCAAGCGTAGCCGCTTTTTCCCACTGTCACACCCCACCAGACGAAGCTCCGAGGGAGAGCTGGGGTGTGCTGGGTTGAGGAAGGACAAGGCTGTGTTGTGGGCTGAACCCCCGCTCAGGGCAGGGTGGCGCTCCAGGCCGTGACTCGGCGTCGAGCGCAGCTTCTGCGAGGCCGCATTTGTGTCGTCCGTGTCCCCGTGGTCCACGCCTCGTTGGGTCGTGGTGCCCATTCTGTTGTCTGAATCCACCAGTGTTTGTTCACACGGCCCCTCGTCGACCGACACGGGGCTGTTGCCAGTTTTTGCTCTTATGAATGGAGCTTCTGTGAGCGCTTTAGGCCGGTCTGTTCTGTGGACGTGTGTTCTCACTTCTCTTGAGTGAATTCCTAGGCGTGGAGTGCCTGGGTCATGTGAAGGGCGGCTGCAGTTTTATAAGAAACTGCCAGGCTTTTTTCTAAGTGGCTGCACATCTCTCCCTCCAAGAATGCAAGCAGGTTTTGGCTTGCTCTGCCTGTTGTCTGTCATTTTAATTATTATTAATTTTTTAAAATCTTCACCCCAGGATATGTTTTCATTCATTTTGAGAGAGAGAAGGGGAGAGAGAGAAATACTGATGTTAGAGAGAAACACCCATCAGTTGCCTCCTGTGCACACCTGACCAGGGTTGAACCCGGGACCTGGGCATGTGCCCTGACTGGGAACTGGACCCTCAGCCCACCCGCTGGTGTCTGGACAACACTCCAGCCCACTGGGCCACCCCACCAGGCCTGTCCTTTTCACTTAACCACTCTGGTGGGCGAGCTTGAGGAGCTTTGACAAATGTTACACCACTATCATCAGGAGAGAGACCATTTCCACCACCAGGAATGGTCCCTGCTGCCCTTTCAATCAGCCTCTAACCCCCCAACCTCCCCAACCCCAAACAGCCCCTTTAGACTCATCACCAGGGCAGCCAGCTTGGGAAGCACAAGTACAGAGCATCGTTTTGAGACTGTTGTGGATGAGTAACGAATTGTAAGGAGCAATTTGGAGAGATTGTGTTCCTTCGCACGGTTTCCCCCGGGGGCATCACCTTGCAAATTACAGTCAGAACCAAGCCAGGACGTCGAGGTTGATACAGCCCATGACTCGAGCCCCCAGCACAGCCATGCCCCGGGGCGCCGCCCGCCACCCCAGCCTCGACTGCTCCATGTCTTTGATTTCCAGTGTGCTTTTGAGTTTCGTTCACGGTGCTGTGGGCGTTGGTAAGTCACTCATTTACTGCCACACTCTTCTCTGTTCTGTGGCTGTAGCAGTTTGTTCATTCATTCACCTGTTGATGGGTTGGGTTGCTTGGGAGGTTCTTGGCTGTGAGGAATAGAGCTGCTGCGACCACATGGGCGCGGGTGTGTGGCCACTTGCCCTCTTTCCTGTGAGGAGTCTGTTCAGGACGGCTGTGGGTCAGGTCTGGATGCCACCGTGTGTGGGGAGGTGTTCAGGAGCTCTGACTATGGTGACAAACGACTTTCCACTCGGTGGTTGGCTGTCAGCACCTCTCCTTTGGGGACGTGTCCGGTGAAGGCTTTGTCATTGCTGAGTTCACAGTTCTTTGAATTTTTAAAAAATATATATATCTTTATTGATTTCAGAGAGAGGAAACGAGAGGGAGAGAGAGATAGAAACACCCATAATGAGAGAGTCATTGGGGATTGACCCCTCAACCCAGGCATGTGCCCTGACCGGGAATCGAACCTCAATCCCCTGGATCCCAGGTCGACGCTCAACCACTGAGCCGCGCCCTGCCGGGTCACAGTTCTTTGTGTGTGTGTTTTGCAAACATTTTCTCCCAGTCTTTGGCTCAGTTTTTAGTTAACATTGTCTTTTGAGGAGCATACATTTTAAATTTTGACGAAGTCCAATTTGTGAACTTTTCTGTTATGGTTCGTGCTCTTTGGGTTTCCTGTCTAAAAAGTCTTTGCCTACAGTCACAAGATGTCTCCCGTGAGTTTCTTCTGGCAGTTCATAAATTTTAGGTGTAACATGTCGGTCTGTGGGTCAAGTGGGGCCGAGTCTGCGTGGGGCCTGGGGTACAGCCCAGGGAGTGGCGTGGGGCCCTAGTGGTGACATCGCCATGTCCTGGGGCAGGTCCTGGACCTCAGTGGCAAGACGTAAAGGACCTGACCGGCAGCTAGGTGGTCAGGATGCTCGTTCTCCTGGCTTCTTTCTCTCTGGAGAGCCTAGAAGTGACCTGCGTGTTCTGTTTCCTCCCCCAGACTCGGACTTGACCATCACTGAGGCCGGCAGCTCTGACAGCCGAGGGGAGAGGGCGGACCTCTATGCCCACGTGGATGAGGGTCTCCTGGGGGCAGAAGCCAGCTACCTGGGCCCTCCCCTCACTCCCGAGAAGGATGAGGCGCTGCAGCAGGCCACTGCAGTGGCCAACCTGCGGGCGGCGCTCATGAGCAAGAACAGCTTGCTGTCCCTCAAGGCTGACGTGCTTGGGGATGACAGCGCCCTCCTGCTGGAGTACCTGCCCAAAGGCACCCACTCCCTGTCCCGTAAGTGCAGGCCCTGTGGCCGCTTTGATCTGGTTCTGAGTGGTGAGAGGAGCAGAGGGTGTCAGACCCACGAGGCGGTGGGTGTGGGGTGTCGTGCATGGTTCTGATGATCAGCTGTGACTCGAGGCACCCTCAGACCCCCCAGGCCCTCAGGGAGGTCATACAGGTCGTGGTCCACGTGGGGTTGTCAGGGCAACAGGGAGGGGGCAGTGGGTACTTGTTCAAACATTTCCTACTAGAAATCGAGGATCTATACCTAAAACCGAGCTGGGGACACAGAGCTCTTTGCAAGTCAGGATAGATGGGCAAGGGACAGAGGAGCCCTCCTGCCAAGGGGACAGGCTTGGCTCCCTCTGCTGGCACCTGCCCCGCGTCCGTGCTGTGATTCGTCCCTGTGGGGAGGGAGAGATACAAGGAGGCTGAGACCAGGGCCATCTCCTGGCTCTGTTTGCATGAGGTGATGCTGGTGGTACAGGGATCGTTAAAGAGGCCTTGGATGTGTGTTTACGCCTTAAACACCTCCCTTGGAATTCCAGTTGCTCAGAGCAAATGAGTAGGCCGGAGCTCAGAGGCATCCTCCTGACAACACATGGGGGTTAGCTTGTGCAACCAACCTACCCTCGAGCCCACTGGGTGCCAGCCTGGGAGCGAGCCACTTTTCTGTGTCACGGGTGCTCTGAAGAGTCATTCTGGGGACACTGGTGGCCGCTGTCTGTGTGCAGGCACTGAGCATGTCACCAGGAAAAAAACCCCGTGTCTAGTTGGTGCTCGGTGTGGGTGTGAGAGAGAGCTGTGGCCCCATTGCTCTCCATGGGGGATGGGGACACCCCCAAACGGGAGGCACTGAGTGGAGGGGGTCCGAGGTGCACCACCCTGAGTGAGTGACAATAGAGCAGGACCTGAGCACCACAGGGTGAAGGAAGATCTGCCCGAGTCCTGGGTGTTGGGGACTTGGGACATATATCTTTGTTTTTATCATTACTTTAAAAAACAGTATTTTATAACTGTTTTTATGAGCACTAATATTTAAGTTTTTGTGTTGGAGTGATGAAAAGTGCATGTGACTAATAAAGACTAAAACTGGAAAATAGCATCTCCATTCCCTTTATTTCCATGTGCTGACCTAAGAAGCACTGCTGGCCGGACGCACTGTCCATGGGTAGGAGTTGGTGTGACTCAGGCCCAGGCCTGTTTGGTGTTGGGCATGCTTTTCAAAACATTCAGGCCCTGGCCAGTTTTGCTCAGTGGTTAGAGTGTCGGCCCTCGGACTGAAGGGCCCTGGGTTCAATTCCGGCCAAAGGCACGTGCCTCGGTTGTAGGCTCGATCCCGGGCCGTTTGGGAGGCAAACAGTCGATGTGTCTCTCTCACAGCGATGTTTCTCCCTCTCTCTCCCTTCCACTCTCTCTGAAAAGCAATGGAAAAATATCCTCCGGTGAGGATTAGAAATAAATAAAAAATAAAAGCACATTCAGGCCTCATTTTCTGCCTCTGAAAAATGGGTGTAGTCTCTTACACAGTTGTGAGTTTAAAACAAAATAGCATTTGTAAGGTGCTGACCACCTAAGCCGTGTGTGTGAATAGATACTCCAGGCTCTCAGTCCCTCCCCTCGGAGTCAGAGCTCTGGCCCAGAGAAACTGGGACATAAAGGAGGCGGTCTCAGGGCATTTGGGCGTCTGAAACACAGCGGCAGCCCAGCAGGCGGACATCCCGCCCGGGGATGCGGGACAGGGTGTGTGGGTGAGGGGAAGGTCTGGTCGGGCACCACCGGAAGTGTGTGTCTGTGGAGAGGTTGGGGTCCCCTGGACGCTCGTCCTGTCTCTTTCTCGTCACAGGCTCCAGGACGGTCACACCAGCCTGTGCCGCCCCCACGTGGCTGATCTGTCCTAGTCACCAAGGATGACGCCTGAGGGGTGATTTATTGCTTTTTTCTGCCTTCTCCGCGCCCGGCAGCCTTCGCCCTCGGCATGGCCTTTGCTGTATCTCTGCTGGGAACGGGGCCAAGGGGTCCGATAGCCCCCAGTGTCGATTGCACGCCCTCCTGTCAAGCAGGTGACCGGCGCGCGGGCCTGACTTGGGATCTGGAGCCAGGCAGCTGTGGCTGTCCCGGGTGGTATCTGCCCCCCCGAAGCAGAGTCCCCAGATGCCCCCTCACAGCAGGTCTCACCCGAGTGAGGCCACAGAGTGGGTGGGCCCCGGGACGGAGCCCTTCTGGGCGGAGTTTTCTCTTCGGTGTCCCTCCCTCGCGTGTGCTCACTGTCGGTGGAGCAGGGGCGCCGGCCCGCTCAGCTCCTGTCCCCGCAGCTCAGAGGAGCTGCGAGCCGGGCAGGAGCCCATCGCCTCCTGTGCCTGTGCACCTGTGACTAATTCCAGATGAAGTCAGCGGGTGGGGTTCGATATTTTCTTATTCCTATTATGTTTTAACCTCCTTGCTTTTGATAGTCTAAATTTACCCCTTTTCGTGTGAGAATCTGCCCATCATTTTCTGTAAATAGGGGTGAGAAGTTGGCAGAGTTCGCAGCCGGGCTGTAAGCTGGTGACTGGGCCGTGGTGGACCCGACGCCTGTGTGCACACGGGCTCGGGCATTCGGCCGGCAGTGAGGCCACGGACACTGCTGGGACTGGGTCAGTTAACACAGCTTCCTGGCACCCTGATTAAAAGCTGCCTGTTCCTGGCCTACGCTGAAACAGACATCGGTTTCCCCAAACACACAGTGAAGGAGCCCCAGACCTGTCTCTGGACCGGCGGTCAGTGGCAGATCCATTGAAGGTGTGGTGAGGGATGGGCTCCGAGACTTGGTGGGGGCTGGGGCTGCGATGCGTGGGCATGGCAGAGTCTGGGGCGCCTGGGGCGAACTCTCGTCCTGTGTCTTCCAGACCTCAGCCCTGGGGAGCCCAGGATGCTGTGTGCTCAGAAGGGACTTGAGTACACATTTGCAGAAAGAAGAACCGGTTACAGCAGAGGCCTCGCCCGCCCTGCTCCTTACTGCTCGTGGATGGGGTGGACAGCACTTCCCCGCAGGGTGCACTGTGGGGGGTCCCAGGCCTGTCCCCAAGATGCCTGGACCCCTGGGGGGCACTGTGGTGCATGGAAGTGGTCTGGTCAGGGCAGTTTTGCAAAAGAAAGGGAGAGTTGTGGCAGATGTTTGAGGGGACCACTAACTCTGTAGCTGGTGCTCAGAGGTCCTTCATGGCTGGTTCTGGAACCTTCCAGGAAAGTACCCTTATTTTCAGAGGTCTGAAAATGGTTTCATTGCTGGACCTTCCCGGTCTAACTGATTCTCATCAGAGGACTTTTCTAGTTCTCATTTTGACTCAGTTGAACTTGACTCTCACTTTTATTACATTTTCAGCAGCAGCTAATGTCCTACCAGTTAATCATTACTGTTCACTGAATAGAAATGTGAAAAGCATCATTCGTGGCTCAAACACGTCCCTATTTGGGGAGTTGTATTTGAGTGCGCCGTGATTGGGTGAGACCCCAACCTGTGTCTCACCTCCGTGGGCCCTTAAAAGTGCTGTAAGAACACTGGTCCCTGGCTGATTTTCCAGGAACACACTGCAGGTAAACCAGCCACAGTGGTGCAGGAGCCTGGGTGCCGTGTGGGACTCGAGTTGTCCCAGCCCCTCAGGCGACCCACTGCTGACAGCCTCCTCCAACAAGTGTGCGCAGTTCCCTGAGCTCTTCACGGGGAGGGAGCCTCGCAGAGCCCAGGGTGATGGCAGGTGACACTCGGCCTGGACCTTCCTGACGCTGCTGGTCGCCCTGCTGGGAGCACTGCAGCTGATGGTTTAGGTCCAGGCTTGTGCACTGTTTCCTCAGTGTTTAAAAAAGGGACCATGGGCTTATACCGGACTCTGATAGACACTGGAATTTTAGACAATTTCTTGTGAAAGGGCATTTGCTGTGAGCCTACTCAGAGAAAGAGCCAGCTTGACACCATGACACGTGTCTCAGACCGTTTCTCAAGGCCGCAGGGCACGTACTCCGTGTCCTCAAGACACGTCACAACTTTCTGGGAGACAACACTCTGGGAGAGAGACCCCCACCCTGGACAAGTCACTCACGGAGACCCCTGGCACCCACTTGTGCAGGGGGGAGCTGAGAAAAGCACCCAAATGCCCACCTGCAGCGAGACCCAGGCTGCGTGACACGTGACTCTGCTCACATGGGAAGGGCAAGGGCGGTGCTTCTGGAACTCTTCGAACCCACCAGCTGCTGCTAGTTCCCGTGGCTGAGACTGGTTTCCTGTGTTCCCAGGACCTGGCACCAGCCCAAGTCACATGGGGACGTGGTAACAGAGCCACCCCTCCCCCTCTGCTCAGCACAGGACAGCCAGCCCCCTGCCCAGGTGACCTCCCAGCCCCATAACCTGTCTGGCACAGGTCCCACTCTGCACAGTGTCCTATCTGTGTGCTCACGTGCCCAGGCGTGTGCCGAGCTCTCCCCACAGTCAGGTGACAGTGAAAACCCATCTCAGGTTGACTAAGTTAGTCGCTTTTGCAATAACAATTGTTTTACACTGACAGTAACATGCTATATGAAGTTCGATTGGCTTTTATACTTAAATGAAAATACTTCTCTGAGGAATTTTTCCCCCCAATAGAAAGGCATCAACTTAGGAAGCAGCAGGTTAAGGGTACCAGGTCCTCAGGCCAAGCAGCTGGTGGAACTGGGTGCTTCTGACCTGAGGCCAGGACCTCAGATAGATCTTTCCTGTTTCTCGTATAAAGAAGGGTCTGTTGCCCTGGCTAGTGTGGCTCAGTTGGTTGGGCATTGCCCATGCACCAAGAGGTCGCTGGTTCAATCCCCGGTCGGGGCACATGGCTGGGTTGTGGGACGGATCCCCTCTAAGGGGCATGCAGGAGGCAGCCGATCCATGTTTCTATCTCATCGATGTTTATCTCTTCCCCCCTTTCCCTTTCTCTCTCTCTAAAAAAAAATCAATAAAAATATATTTTAAAGAATGGTCTGTTAGGTTCCTTTGTCTCCCTGAGGGA